CTTTACAAAACCTCGATTTAGCGCGACCCCGCTTGTTTCGCGATGACATTTTATGGACCTCAACGATCGCGTTATAACGGGGCTACACTGTATTTCCTATACACAATAACTATATATTTCAAATACGTGGTTTATTGGGACAATCTTTGTGTAAATATAATAATTGACACTTTGCAATCCTCAATATGCAGCAGTGTAATTATTACAGAACTTTGTTAAGTGATAAGAAGTGGCATGTAGTTCTTTACAACAAACTCATTATTCTTATAATTAAGATTTATTTGATACTACAAGCAAATGTAAAAATAGTAAAATACTGTTCCATACGCTTATATTGTTCCAAGTATGAAAGTGGTAAAATACTGTTCCATATATTTTACCTTTCCAAGTATGAAAGTAGTAAAATACTGTTTCACACATTTAGATCTTTTCAAGTGTTAAAGTGGTAAAACACTGTTCCATAGCTTTTACCTTTCCAAGTGTGGAAATAATAAAATACTGTTCGACAAAATGATAATTTTCCAAGTGTAAAAGCAGTAAAATACTGTTCTATATATATGGGTGTGAAAGTAGTAAAATACTGTACCATACATGTATATATCTTTTCAAGTGCAAAAGTAGTAAAATACTGTTCCATACATTTTGCTGGTTTACTGGCGAGCCACTTTCCAGCAGATATCGCACGAGGTCGACATCATGTCGTCTTGTTGCAATATGTAATGCGATGTCACCAGTTTTTTGACGTCGAAAAGATAACTGTTCTCGTGCTTCGGAACTCATAAGTTCTCGACAAACACCATGATTTCCAGATTCCACAGCCAGGAGAAAAGGTATGTTTCCATCCTGTTAAAAGAGTACTTTTAAATAAATATGGTTTAGATTAGAACATTTATAATCTTGCTCCATTAAGAAATGTACAGAATAAGCTAGTTTTTTAGTGCATAGAGTATTGCAAATGAGAGGACAACATTAAATAAAAATTAATTCTCAAGTAGAATTATAAATAACCAGATAAATTATACTCTTATTAACACTCTTTGGGAATGTCATCGTTGGTAGAGGGAGCAGATGTATGGATCTTGAGTAGCCATCATCTCCTTATTGCCAAGATTAAACTGAAACTGCAAAAAGTTAAACTGATAATTGCAATATATTTTTATAATTTGAACACACTTAAAATACCGGAAATCACCAAAAATTTACCTTAGAACTCAAAACCTGCTTCCAAGTACTTGCAAAAGCAGGTGAGGGAATAAACCATGATGGGAATAGTACTTGAACAAGAGTAAAGACTGCTATAACAGCGTGTGGGAGGAAGTGTTGGGACACATAACAAAACAATAATAGATCTGATTGAGGGAGAACACTTGGGCACTAATAGAAAAAAGAGAAGAAAGCTCTGAAAATCGACACAAACAGGCTTGGTCAAATAGGTTGAAAACCATGTTGATTAGGGAGTGTTGAGCTATAAACAAGGTGGTCGATAAAAGTGTTAAGAAAGGTAAAAGGAACTATCTAGAGAACCTTGCTGCAACCAGAGGAGTGAGGTGTATAAGATCATCAGGAAGCTGTCTAGTGAATGGAGCACATTTCATGTCTATCTCCTCACCAAAGGTTTCTATGTTGCCTGTACGTCTTGGCCTTGTCTGACGAGTATTTCTTGAACGTGTTATGCCCACCTTGCCAGCTGTTGTCTTTTTAGAGCAAATATTTTCTCTTACCTATTTGTGATGTTGCTACTAGTTCTAATAGTGTCTCCTAAACATACAAACCTATGGTGAGGAGATAGACATGAAATGTGCTCCATTCACTAAAACATAGAAACCTTTTGTGAAGAGATAGACATGAAATGTGCTCCATTCACTAAAACATAGAAACCTTTGGTGAAGAGATAGACATGAAATGTGCTCCATTCACTAAAACATACAAACCTATGGTGAAGAGATAGACACGAAATGTGCTCCATTCACTAAAAAGTAAATTCTAATGAGACTGAAAATAGCAAGGCACCCGGTATTGACTCTATCATTGCAGAGGTCATGAAAGTTAATAGACGGCTTACAATGAAGTTACTATATGACTTGTTTCTCAAGATCTGGTCTGATTATCAAATTTCAGAGGACTGGATGAAGCAGCTCAATGTGAAATGACCGGAAAAAAGGTAAAAATTATAAAATGCTCTTTAATAACTATGGAGGATCGATATGACTATCTGTAGCGAACAAGTTTTTTTTTTTTTTTGTAAGATCATCCAATGAGACTTGCTAAGGCAATAAACGCCGAACTGCGAAAAGAACAAACAGGAATTAGATCAAGGAAAGGATTCGTTGACAAGTAAACAGTGTATTGAGTGAAATAAAAGGTACACCTGGATTTTATAGATTTAAAAAAAACTTTTGATAGTCTACACATGGCTAGCCTTTGGAAGACCTTGGCAGCGTAGTTGCCATTGCAAAGAGGTCGTCGTAAGACTGTCATGTCCGAAGCACTCCTCCCTCTGGCTTTCCATGATCCAGCTGATGAACTAGGACGTTTCAACAGTCTGAATTCATAGAAATCCATAGGCGTTGCGTCGGGCGATATTTTCAATATGTCTTCGTACGTAATAGTATGAATACCCGTTTCATTCTTCAACTATTTCAGACATGCAACGGTTGAACAGATATTTCATGGAAGTAGCTAATGTACACGTGATTATGTTGCATACTGTTGCCTAGGGCATATAAGTGAGTGTAAAACACATAAATACACCAGTTTGATTTTCGATACCTCCCTAATATGAAGGCTTGATTTGGTCTGATATCTCATTGGTGGTAGTGTCCAGGGTCACTGATGAGGAGTGGAATTCTCCTAAACTAGTCTGGCTCACAGACACACACCCCAATGAAAGAATAGACCATTCCAAGCTTTAACTTGTTGTTAAACAAATGTTTAAACAACTCTACTTATTCAATTATGTACAAGCTTCCCAGTGTCAGCTAACAATACGAAGAATTAAATTGTGGCAGATTGCTACAAGCTCTTCAAATACCTATAGAATGATAGGTTTCTTTTTGGTGAGTGTAGAACACGTAAATACACCAGTTTGATTTTGGAATAAGACTTGTTGCAGGCCTCTTTATGGATGGTCTGGATTCTCCAAGTTGATCCATGCCTTTGTTTTCAACGCCATTAAATATGGATAATTTGTGTAGGAAAGAGGTATTATATACCCTTTCCGAAAGCGAATAATTTTCAGTGACATTGCATTAACTACATAACGTCAAACAATGTCCACCTTGACTTTATACTGGCTGTAGTAATCACGTGACTTGCCGATTTGCACTTCTATTGGACTTCTGCTAGAACAGTGTGTGACAGTTAAAGATATGGAGATGGTGGGTATAAAACAACACCATTGGTTAACCCTCTTTATTTCTCCTATCCGGTTGACAGGTTTGATGTTTAATATTTCCAACTGGAATACTTTTGACAAATGTTGTACTGTTGTCCTACTTTCACCAAGAATTATTCTGCTACCAGTAGGACCAAGTGGGATCCTATAGGTTATATATTTTTATTTTATGTTTTAGCTATAAAAATTAATCGTTAGAATTATTCTGTATGCCTGTATAGAAAATATACATTCCAAATCGTTTTAGCTATCTTATTTTTCAAATATAAGTACATTTCATATCACGGGAAGTGGTAACTTTTCTGTAAATGAAATATACGTTCTATGGGCAAACTATAAACGAAAGCCGAGAATAAAGGTGATTATTTACTAACACTGCATAAATCATCAATGGCTTTGTTTACTGTTTCTCTGTACATTGAAAGAAATTAAAATCTTGTCCCGTATACTTCTGGGGTTTTGTCTCCCCATCCCCGTATTTCAGTAGTTAGGTTAAAGGCTTGTAACGCTAAAATTCGGAGTTCGATGGGCACAGCATAGATCGCCCATTGCGCACTTTGTGCTTATCAACAAACCAACTCACCTTGTCAAGCCACAATCTCATATTTTTGCTGGAAGAGCGAAGTAGCATTTGAAGAGGGGTGATCGCTGCTCCAGTTGGTCGTCCACATAAGATATGAATCGGTAACTGATCTTTTGCCTGATAGTAAAAAAAAAATTAAAGTGAACAATAAACATAATTGCGATTTTTTTCGTAAGCTTCTCAGAAAGAAAAAACATAAAGTGGGTTTATGAAACATCCAGAATCAGTAGTTAATATACTTTGATTTTTATATTTTAGGCCTAATAAATCTTAAATGAAAAGTTTATGAGTATCAGTAGTGGAAAAATACAATAAATACTAAATAATATTACGCACGTTAATCTGGGAATAACTGGATTTGTAGTTTTTCGGGCTTAGTCATATCATTGTCCAAGGAATATCTAAGCTTCTTTGATTTAAGATGAAAACGTCAAATCCGATTTTAAAGCGTATACAAGGAGCGCTAGATATTTCTATGTTTTATATCTTATACGATCACATTAAATTTGTCTTGTCAATGTGTAAGATTACACTTGCGATCTTGATATAAGCCAAAATCTGCATGGATGCCTACATATCAAAAGAAGTAGCGTAACAAATAAACCATTCTTCTTCTGTTAGGGATATTTTACTGTCCTTAGACTCACCATCTTACAATAGGTAATGACGCAGGATTGAAAATAACGTTTATTCATGGCATAGAAAATACTTCAGTTGAGGCATTCCACAGAATGAAATATTAATTTTTTCGAGAACTGTTTATTGCGAAAGTTTCTCTGACAACAAAAATAATGACTGATAGAGTTTGGTTCTACGAATGTCTTGTATTAGTGAACTCATACAGAAGGAATACATATTACGCAGTTAATTAAAAACCGTAAACATATACGTCACATAGTACGAAACAGCACGTGTCCTTCTCTGTCGAAATCGAATAAAATATGAAACACAACTTTTCTTACCCCTCCAATTATTGTAGGGTCTGCTCGTTTATTCAACAGCAAGTGGATTATTGTTTCTCTAGTCTGGATTGCCGCTAGGTGAAGAGCTGTCAATCCATCCTAAAAATTAATATATTTGCTTTGAATTCTAAAATAAAGTGTAAATTTCAATATATACATCATAAAAACTATTTCCAAGAAATCAATAAATTATTTAAATTTGCTGATTATATTAAGGTTTTTGGGGAGTTGCTAACTCTGAGGAGGATGCAGCTGCTTTAAAACTTTACAAAAGACTTTAGATTATTTGGTGACTTAGGCGAATAAATGGCAGATGGCTTTTAATTTTAACAAGACACTTTTGGTAGGAATGACCTGAACAGTGTTATGGAAGAAAACAATATTGGTGTATTTATCAGTCTCTTAAACCATCTAAGCAATGTTTTGTTGCTAGTGGCAGAGTAAATACGACTTGTAATACTGAATACAAGTCTAAAGAGGTTATAATGTCACTATAAAGGTCACTGGTAAGGCCACATTTGGAGTACTGTACTCAGTCTCGAACTCCTTACCTTAGAAAAAACAATGAATTGTCGAATAGGTTTAGAGAATGGCTACTAGGATAATACTTGGGATGAAAAGGTTATCATACGAGGATAGGTTAAAATATACACGATCTTGCTTTCTTCTGGAAAAAGAAGAGTTAGGGGAATATGATTGAGGTGTTTTAAGATTGCTAAGGAAATTGATAGTGATGATGTATCACCTTCTTTTTCGTATTTAATGGTAAGACAAAGGGACACAAATATAAATTTTGGCAGAGTGATAGTTGAATGATAAGGGCTGGATTTGAGTGTTTATTTATATATATTAAATTTTAGTTTAGAGGATGGAACGGCCTAGATGGACCAACATGTTTCTTGTTGTCCTTAAATTATATGTATACAAAAATTGTAATTAATAACAAACAAATTACCAAGTGAGTTATAATAAAAATGTATCAAAGTGGTTCTATGATAGTGCCATGAAAACATTTAGTTGCAGATTGAAAATTAGAAATACTAAACACCATCTAAGCCTTAAAAGTTCATGGTAGATTACTTGAATTCATATTAATGAACAAACAATTGATACACCTGAGCCTTCCCTAACTTTTACTATTTTTTTAAAAAATAGCTTATTCAAAGACTTAGTCTGAAAAATTAAATATATCACACGATACTTTCTGAATAAGAAACAGCTTTTCTTTATTTTTGCGCTAGGCTTATAATAATTACGCAATAACCATAAGATTACTTATTCATATCTATCAAACATTACTGTAAATTTTCTTTGAATCTTGAGTACATTCAATGGTAGACATAATGTCAATTTTAGCTCTGTAATTTTCTATTCCACGCCTTTTTCACTGTCATCTATATTCTTGTGTCATAAGCAGATCGTAATAATTCTCAACCAAGATATTCTGTGCACGAAACATAAACCCAACAATACTTTATTGTCAAAGCACGTAGGACACGTTTTTAATAGGGAAAAGGCACGTGGCGTAACGATCGCAAGGAATTTCTTTAAGATTACTGGAAATATCAGTTTCAAATCCATCTGGCAGTTCTCGCAACAGACTGCCCTTCTAAGTTTTTCATCTCCTTTAATATACATTAGACTACTGAAGAAACAAGTAATTCTTTTGATTGCAGACCACAATAGAAGTATTCCAAACTGTATGTTTGTGTAATTCGAAATTCTTTCCATGGCAAATGTATTTATAACATGCCTTCCCGTTTCTTAGTTGTATTCAACCCTCCTGAAGACAGAAAAGTTTGTTGTAAATTCTCTGACATCATATTCATTTAAAGTACTAATGTCATAAATAATCGAATATAGGAAGAAAGACTCCGACTGTATATAATGTTGTACAGCTGAAAATGAAATACAAAGTACCTTGTACAGCATTACAGCAAAATATTTTTCTATCAAAAACTTTCTCTTTTACGGAGTACGTTTTTGATTAAATTTTAAAAAGTATCAAATGCATAAAAGAAAACTTTAAAAAGTTAGAAAAAATATGTAAGACCGTTGTAGCAAAATAGTTAATTTTTCTCTATCTCTGATTGCAGTTCAATCACATTCCATTGTTGCCGTCACTTCTTACCGGTCTTATATATACAAGAATATCGCATATCTAGTAACCTCTCGACACTTCAGGAAGGGACATGAAGGTTCTAAAAGAGCATGACGCATTACTAGCGTCACGTGACCTCCGCTCTCGTAACAATATGTTATTTATTTATTTGATTTAAGAAACGTTGAAAAGAAGTATGATTCTACGGGTAAGTTGTGTATGATATACAAAATTATATGCTGGTATTTTAATAACCGTATGTGACCTCGATGACGCAACAGTATATTAAATTAGCTATATTAATCACTGGGTTAATTGTGAGTTCTAACCTACATAGGTAGCTTGTTTTGATCAGAACGTAATGATAATATTGTCTCTGTTCGTTAGTTAACTTCCCGTATAATTTCTTTCCGATGAAACTTTAGCGACACAAGTCCTTTCTTAAATAAAACTAGTTTATTCTTTCTCCATACAACTTTGAAATTCACTTAATTTCAACGGTCACACTATAAGTTAAACAAACGCTATAATTCACAACGAACGACACACGCACTCGACCCAACAATACTCTTATATATACCAGACTACCCTATCTAGTAAATACTAGAGCATTCATGAAGGAACAAGATAGTTCTAGAAACTAGAGGGCGCCACACCAGTCACGGGGGACAACGTGACGCGGTAAGGTAATGTGTGTGTGAAGATAGTGAGTAATTGAACTGCAGTCAGAAGTATTATTGACGTTCGTTGATATAGCGTTTGTTTTAGCGCGAATATTGAAAATAAGTGTATCGTAAAGTTGTATTCGGAAAGAATAAACCAGTTTTATTAATTAAGGACTTGTGTCGCTTAAGTTTCGTCGGAACGAAGTTACGGAAATTTAATTAACAAACGGAGACGTAACAACTGGAAGAGCAGTATACGACTGCTGTAACTCATGCCACAATTGCAAGTGAATTATATACAGAATACTAGTGCTATAGAAATAGGGAAAAGTAATTGGGTTTGTCAACTGAAATTCTAAAGTAATTGTATAGGCCTAAGTGGATTTTTGGTAAGAATAAGAGAACTATATGTTGTGTATATGATATGTCTATAATCTCTATAGTGTAAATGATTTGTTGTGCATACGTTTAACTTGTTCCAAATATATATAATATTTTGAAAACAAGTGGAGTGCGTGCTGTTCATTTATCGTTGAATTTATCGCCAACAAGTCACAGACACTTACTGTAGAAAAATTCTAAGCCCAACAACAACAACTCAGTATATATTCATACTATTAAGAAGTATAAATAAAAGCCTTTAATTGACAATTGGCGAACATAACTTAATGTCTAATAAACTATATTAAGACTGGCGAGGCTTCACTTGAAGTACTGAACGAAGTTTTGCCCCTTTATTATGGAAAATATAACATTTTAGAGTGCAAAGACAGGCTAAGTGATTGGTCATAAGTTCAGCTAGCAATATAAATATATAAGGAACAATGCTTGTGCAACTACTTTGGCTAGATCTCTGACCATGCCAACTGCCGGCAACAGTTATTTGTCAGTTGATTCATCGAACTCACATAAAACTGAGATATCCACCATTGTCTGGTTGTCATTAGGATAGAGCCAAGGTCCAGTGATTGAATGAAGGTAGAACTGAAAGAAGACACTTTAAACTCATAAGTGAAATTAGGTCGGCTACCCATAAAGTTCTGGGGGTTTATCTGTTTTGCATCACAATCAAGTGGTGCCCGGATGATCCTAATATTAACTACTCTATTGAAATCTAGCTCAAATGTCCTAGGGAGTCTTTTGTCTTCTTCATGAAGTCTGGAGATGCATATATCAGAATGAATGCAACACTCTCAAGCTAAATCCTCAATAGAATGACTCTGGAATCACTCAGGAGAATGCGCCATTACAATCCATGGTACCATTGGCTGCTGGACACGGTTTTGCTGGCTTGGGAAACTTCTGATTAACTCCTAATCCCACTGGTTCGTAGTGAGATGTAATGTGTTTCACTTGATGGTGGGGTGATGAAACATGACAAACTTTGTCCAGCACGCCCACCTGACTATTGTCTTTGATAACTGGCGACTCCACACAATGCCTTGTAATATTGGGACTTGTTCTTTTATGTCTTGGAGTCCCACAGAGGCCACCACATCGTATTTTGGAGTGTTTGCTGACACCATGACCTTTCTCTACTACCTTAGACACATACAGGATTGATAATCTAAGGTTGCCTTAGGGTCGTTTGTAATTGTCCAGTGAGATACTCTTCAACCTCTTGGTGTCAATAATAGATCAATAATGCAGACTTTACTCTCACTATGGATGGTGAATGTTCATGCTTCAGAAGAGTGCTCCTCTCAGACCTTGTAATATTTTATTATCCAATTATCATTTCTACAGTAACTTCATCTTTTTTGTAAATATCTTATTGTCTTGAAAATTTATTTCCGTGGTAGCACAATTTACAAATGTTTGTGTATCGCAAAAAAAATATATAAACTAAACACATTTAAAATAAACTCTGCAATAAGCATTTGTTACGTCTCCGTTTGTTAATTGATTTTCCGTAACTTCGTTCCGACGAAACTTCAGCGACACAAGTCCTTACTTAATAAAACTGGTTTATTCTTTCCGAATACAACTTTACGATACACTTATTTTCAACATTCGCTCTATAACAAACGCAAACCAACGAACGTCAACAATACTTCTGACTGCAGTTCAATTACTCACTATCTACACACACATTACATTACATTCACGTTGTCACCCTCTTTTATATTCCAGATTACCCTATATCTAGTAAATGCTAGAGCATTCGCCAAAGTACAGGATAGTTCTAGAAAGTAGAGGGCGTGAGAATAGTCACGTGATCTCGATGACGCAACACATTGTATGGTCACAGCACCAAAAGTTTACTTTTTAACTAACCTGGGGTATTCAGGTTCTCTGATATCCGCCAGATATTTAAAAGTATCTAAAAATTT